GGGGATTCTCTCCCCGGGACGCCGGCTGCTGACGTCTCGCCTTCCTCCTTTTCTTTCCCTATAAAGAATTCCAAGTGCGCCTCCAACATCCCGGGAAAAGCGCATTCCATCTGGGAGGGGGAGAGGGAAATTGCAGTCCCCGGTCCGCTTGGACGAGCCCCAGACCTTGCAGAGCAACCGCAGACCCCTGTCGCCTCCGGCAGGCTCGCAGCTCCTCCGCCCTCGCCTGCCCGCCCCCCATAACCACCCTGCGATCTTCATGAGCGGCTGAGAAGTTCCCGCAGCGCCTTCCCGCGACCTCCGGCCTCCCCGTCCCGTCCCGTCCCGTCCCGCGCCGCCCGGGACGCGGCTGCCTCCTCCGGCCCCCAGCAGCACCTGCTAACGCGCAGACCGGTGGCCCTGGGCGGCATCGGCGGCGGAGCCCCGCTGACCCTGCCGCGTCCTCCCCTCGGGCTGGGCTGCCGCCCCTGCTGGGTCACCCTCAGCCCCCTCCCGAGACGAGCGCCGCGGAGACCGCGGGAGGCTCGAAGGCAGGGCAAACCGGTCCTTGCAGCATCGGGAGAGGAGGAGGAGGAGGAGGAGGGGGAAGCGGGGCAGCAGAGAGAGCCCTTTCTCCGGCGAGCTCCGACGCCCCCGGGCGCCTCCCCACCCCAGCCGGCGCGGCCGCACCCGTCGCAGCTTGTCCGGTGCCCGAGAGGGCGTCCTGGGCTGGGCACCCTCGGCTGCGAAAGGACCCGCCTCGTCGCCGCGGAACATGACGGCCACGCTGAGGATTCCCGTGGCCGTTTGCCTAATGCTGGGGCTTCAAGGTAAGCGCGCGCGCGCGGTCTCGCGGCTCGCCTGCCGCCGTCCCGGCTCCGCGGAGCGTCGGCGGAGTTGCCAGGCTCTTGGGAGGGCTCCCGCTTTCCCCGCTCTGCCGTCCACCTGAGTTGCTCAGCATCCTTTCTGGTGGGAAAGGAAGTCTTTCCAAACGGGCCAGGCCAATGCTGCCTGGCGTCGGCTGAGAACCGGGACGATTTGGCCTGCCAGAGCCTTTGGCAGCCGGTCCGGGCCAAAACCTCCTGGCCGCCGCTCACCTTCTGGTCTGGCTCAGGGCGCCGTCCAAACCGTGGCCTTTGTTTTCCAGCTCTGGGTGTTAGCTTGGCGTAAAAGCATGCCCCTGGGCCAACCTCTAAGCCATCAGTGAGATTACTGGATAAAAGGAGTGAGTTATTTGTCCTTCCATACTATTGCTCTTGCCTTCATGAATCCAAACTCTCTGGATTAGTTCACAGAGGCATGGATCAGCTCAGTTGTAGAGCACCGCTTTGCCCAAAGAAGGGCCCAAAGTAATCCTCTGCGTGCTTGTTTAAGCACAAAGAACAGGGAACAGGTAAATGGAAAGACGCTGCATTTTTCCCCTAGGAATTCTCATTCAGTCTGACCAAAGGGACTTTGCTTTCAAAGTTTCTCTCAAAGGAGAACAGAATTTTGCAGAAAGCCAGTATGTATATTGTGGTCATCTGGCTGGTGGTCTTCCCCTACTTCCATTCAATCCCAAGAGAAGATCTCAGGAAGGAATTTGCCACCCCCACCCCCCCAAGTGTGCTTTGGGTAAATCTTGCTCTTGAGTAGTTCTGGGAGATTTTCTCCTCCTGATTATATTCAGAGAAATCTGCCACCCAGATTTCTCTGCCTGCAAATCGGATGGAGAACTTTGGAAGTCTTGTTAGGGCCTAGTTCTGTCTGGCACCTTGGAGAGATGTTTGTGAATGAGAAGAGGCCCTAGAATAGGAGGATGAAGGATCTGCTATAGAACGTGGTTTCCGTATGCTAGTAGTTGAGGAATCAAGGTTCATAGTCCAGCTCGTGGCATCCTCTGTGCCCTGATGCTGAAACTCTGCCAGTGAGTTTGAAAGTTATGCCATCTGCAAACCCAAAACTGGAAGGACATCATTTGACTTGATACAAGACTGATCCAGTGAACCTCAAAGTTGAAAAGATATTGTCAGCTGACAGGGTGGCTGGGATGAATCTTGGTGTGGTGCAGTTTTCTCTCTAATGTTCTGCAAAGGAACGTAAGGAGCCCTGGACTGTGTCTTTTCCCCCCACCAAACCTCCTTTCCTTTTTCCTCTCTCCAAAAAGATACCATCTGTTGCTGATCACCTGGATTTCCTCTTTTCAGCTGGTATGCTATTTTCTCTGCATGCCAGCTTCTGCCCTGCACTGGTTCCTGAAGAAGGTTGTGTTGCTGGGTTGACGGTCACCGTTTATTTTGTAAAAAATACACGCCACGCAAACAGAATGGTTCATCCCAAAATAGAAGTTGGAATTTCTTTTCTTTTTAAATCATAACTACCTTGTTCCGGGCCAGACTATTTGTCTCCTTCTCCTAATATTGTGCCTCTCCAGTGGCACCACCTGCTGTTCAGGTTCTGAGGCTGGTCATGCCAGCAGATGACAAGGCCACTCCTGCTTTCGATTCCTTTCAGCTGGAAATCCTGTGGAGTGGACCTTTGGCAAGTCAAGGATGCGAGCACATGCTCTTTCTCTAGTCCTCATTTCCTTCGCTAGGTTGATATTATGACTAAGGGGTGCAAGCGAAGCTGGGACATCCATGGGTCTGGCCCAGAATCAAAGAGACAGACAGAGAGGAACAGATGGACCTTCTGTCAAGACCCAGAAGAATCCGTATTAGTGTGCTATATGGATGTGTTTCCATGCGTATATACTGGGGGCAAAATCCATACCCAGAGGTAGGTGTGTCTGTAGGGTATGGCAAAAAAGTCAAGCTGGTGCCCACAGCAGTGTGCTCAGAGCTCCATCTGTTTTTCATGTGTGTCACAATCACCATTGTGGCCACCTTCTTGACTTTTTGACAATCCTTTGTGGACCTGCCTGAGAAGCCTTATGTCTTGGCCACCACGTTGCTGCGTCTCTGCAGCACAGATTGGGTATGGTTCCACAACATGTTTCATTCCTATTGAAGCAACCCATTTCCTAAACGTGCATAACCTGTGGAAACTGAAACAAATTATTCTGTGTCTGCAGAATACGCTCCACCACAAAAAAACCAAACCAAGGTGAGGACTAGATAGATTTCTCATGTTGGGCATATGGGACTCCCAGGTTCTTAAGTGGAAGCATGTTGTGTGAATGGGATCATGACATGGCAGGGAGAGAGATGGACCAGCCATGACCCATGGCTGGATTTCCACTTTATGATAACTCAGCAGCATGTGATGATTCACAGCCAGAACATGCAAATGAACTTCTTCAGAAAGCTATTTTGAAGGCAGGAAAGGAAAAGGTCCTTGGTGGTTGATCTGGGACAGCTCATTCACATATGGAAACTGCTGTTGTGGTGGGTCATGTGTTGAATAAGCTTGGGTAGGAATGCTGTTCATATCTGCCTAGATTTTTCATAATGTTGTTGGAAAAGGGCTTGTTACATAAACTGGTTTGCTTTTGCATTTTCTTGCTAAACTTCTCTCTGTAGGGGAAAGTTCCCTGGCCGGTGGTACATTCTTCCCTTGGCTTGGCCGATGGGGGAGTTCCTGGCAGAGCTTCTCCACATCTGCCAGCGGGCAAGAAGGCTTCCTAGGAATGAGACTATGTACCAAATTACACAACTCCTTTCGGTGCAGCTTGGGCCCCAACATCTTTTCTAGAAATTAGGTGCTGTTCTGACCAACCCTCTGTTTGGACTGGATTGTCAGCTCCTGGAGGCAGAGGCAGAAAGGAGAAAGGATGTCCTGTTGATGCCTGTCATTCCTTTTAGGGGAAAAAGAAATAGTTGCCCTGCAAGGCATTTCAGGACACCAGTATGGTAGTCCAAAGCAATGAAGATGCCCCTAAACACCAGGTTGTTTTCTTTGTTTGGGCCTAAGAAAATCACTCCTATTCCCATATTTCCAGTTGCTAATGCAGATTGACATTATGGCATCTATAAAGTATGTCTATAAAGTATGTCTATCCTTCAGCCATTTCCATGTCTTCTTTGAGTCAGACTTGATTTGTCATATCTTCATGGAGACATCCATTTAATTTTCTTGGCACAATATACTCCTTCTTCCGGGATTTTTTTCTCCCCTTCCCAACCTAGGTTACAGCCATGAGATCTCCTGGTGGTCTCCCATCAAAGTTTTAATCAGGGTTAACTCTGTGATCACCTGCTGAGGCTTTTCCAGGGAAATAGAAAATAGCCTTATTAATTGGTTGCAGCATAGAAGCAACAAGGTCATCCTCAGATCTAAGAAATATATTATGCTGTACTCTTTATTTATTATGTATAATGTCCCTTGATGCTGGTGCTTTTAAAACTTTGATATTTTGCTGATGCACTGTCTGGAAGGAAGGAAGGAAGGAAGGAAGGAAGGAAGGAAGGAAGGAAGGAAGGAAGGAAGGAAGGAAGGAAGGAAGGAAGGAAATCTTTTGTCAAGGGATCCTTTGCGATAAAACAAGGATTAGAAGGAAACTGTCTTATACTGTGCTTAAACTGCTCTTGCTTCTGTTGGTTTCCAAAAGGAAGATAAACCTTAAATGTCCCAGGACGCACTTCAAAAATGAGGAGTAAAAAACCAGCCAGCCTACATTGAAGTGGGGTGGTGGCAGTCTGCCTGACTGGCTGCATCTGGGACCAGAGCGAGGCGGGCTGCCCAGGAGCCCAGAGAGCTGGGGAGATGCCCAGGCTGGGGGCAGCTGCTTGGCTTACGCTTCAGGGCGGCCGGTGAACCCAGCGCAGAGAAGCTGCTTCCCTCGGCTGGGGTGGGGGTGGCACCGGGAGTCATTCAGCCTAGAGCTGAACTGCTTCAGAGTTCAGTTTGGTTTCCTTTATAGTCAGAACTATTTCAAAAATGCTGTCAACTTAATTGGGTGGGATTTTCCTAGAGATGGTTCCAATTATAATTTTCTCCCTCTCTGTTCTTGGATGCCAAGGGGAATGGAATGGGCCATGTGCAAGTCAATGCCTGAAAGTACCACTAGGCGGCAATTCTTCCTAGAAACATCTTTCCAGATGTTCTGCTGGGGGGGTTGGCGGGGGAGCCCGGAGAAGACCGGCTTCTGCTCCGTCATTCTGTGGCTTTGCTCACCGATAACGTTTCCTGGACAAAGCTCAGTTCTACCTTCTACCCAGTTCCTTTCTCTGACCGATCAGAAGCCTTTGTTTTCCTTTTCTTCTAAGTATTTTTGGTTGCTGGGCTCTGATTCCAACAAATTGTGGTTAGTTTTAGCAATGGTTGCCCGGGCAAACCAGTTTGGAGCCACTATTATTATTATTTTTCCTTGACTGAGCATATTGGTCTATGGAACTGAGTGTGAGCCCCTCACATTGGCAAAAGCTTTTCAGGTGGAGGAAAAACTGATTTTTATTATTTTTTTATTTTTTGCATCCTGATTAACTCCCCTTTGCATTTCGCTTGGATTCAGTGAGATGGCTATTTATGGTTTTATTACGTTTTAGTCGATTTATCTCCAATATTTCTGTGCAGAGGGCATTTGAGGATGGAAAACAGATCGTCTTGGCTGGGCTTTTCCCCATTTTGAAATAAGGCAATAAAATCTGCTTTGAAGATCAGCCATCAATCCTTTCCAACTTGTGTGGTCAATTCACACAACCATTCTTTTCAGCTTGTCCATCTGGAATTTAATTGTGCAATTCATTAAAGGAGAAAAAAGAATTTGTCTTAAAAAAAAAATTTGCCTAGTCAATAAAAAAGTAACCCATCATCGGTGACCAGAAGCAGTGGAGGAACTTTGTTTACATAAAGATGGTTTGTTGGATGCAATTCATCAGAGAAAAATGAGGACTTGCCAACAGTTTATTCT